CTTTCTTAAGCTTATCAAAGCAGTTTGAATGAAAAATGATGATCTTTCATTCAGATAGTTTGATGTGTTTTTGCATTGTCATTTATTCCAGAATGATGCATGCTGTCCTGACATTATTTTCTAAATCATATTCAGATTGAAGATAAGTTTGTATGTATCAGAATAATAGACTTTGGTTCAAAGAATTAACTTGCTGTGTTTTGGCATTTTCATTTTCCCTACAACCTACTTTTAATATCTGTACAAGTTAATCACTCTAAAATATTTTCATTGACATCTGCATCTAACTCTTTGTTATAAATTGTATGTACTGCCATTGCATTGTCTTTATTTCCAAACTACAATACATGAATGTGATTGAATTACATATAGCTAGCACATAATTTCTTTTAGTCAGAAAAGTTGATGATACAGCTGTGATACTTTTACTCATTGTAGATATACCAGTAGGTTGATCAGCAGTGAATAGTTTCATCTTTCTGTCCTGATCTAGAATACATAAGGCAGCCAGAGTTAATATGCTTTTTGGTTTTTTAGTTAACAGTATTTTTGAATGTACCACATATATATTTTTTTCTAAGCAGGTTACAACTGCACACAACATATACCCAGATCTACAATGGCATAATGCACCAGCAGATTTGTGTCAATATTTGTTCTTCTGATATGTCCTAACAAACTGCATTGACCCAGAATTGCCAGTGCATTGTGCAATGGCAGATCTTAGTATATGCAGTTTTCAAATGGAGCAGTGAGTATATACTGTATTTAAAATGTTTAGATTTCTTAGAAATATTTGAAGGAGAAAGTTCAGAAAATGACATTTCAACATGATTTATGTTAAAGTTACCATCACACCAAATTATTTACCTGTAATTAAAGTTACTAAATTATCATTTAAATTAAATTTTAACCATTTTTTTTAACTTGCAGATTAATTCATTTTACATATATTTTGTAAATATATTGTTAATGAATTTAAGTACCTTTTGTATTATTATAAGTTAATCAGCTTGTTTTTTGCCTTCCTCTCGAGTATGCAAAACTTTTTTAACTATTGTTATCTTGTGTAAATTCACATATAAATTTAGATGCAGTGTATTTTGAAACAGCTTACAATTTACTAGGGTTTGAAAAAAATTTTACAATTGTAACTGACTGAAATACCAGGAAAAAAATAGAAAATTTGATTTTTGTTTAAATATTTCTAGATACAGTCTGTATAAATAAAAGACAGATTGAGAAACATTAATTGCATTTTCTCCAAACCAATATTTCTCATGAGACAAGCTTGTTTATTGTGATTACATGTATAAATCCCGAGTGACTTATTTATTTTTACTTGACCCAAAAGTGTAGTATTTTCCAGTGTATGACCCATATGTGCTATTGCATCATGATATGTCTTTAGATTAGAGTCTGCTGTTCACTTTAAATCAGTGGCAATAACTACCACGTTATGTAACAGCAGTTCAGGGTCTTAATTTTTCACATTTAATTAGTAATACAAAGATGGAAGAGATGACAGCAGATCTGGGTCTGTACTGTTTACTTTAAATCATTAAAAATAATGGCAGAGCTCCTGATCTACTTAAATTTCAACTGAGACAGTTTGGGTCTTCACTATTCACTTTAAATCTTTCATTAACAGAACAAATTGCCAGGCTTTTGATCTACTGGTGCATTGTGACCTCAGATTTGGGAATACACTGTTCACTTTAAATTGTTATCGAAACAAATGGCAAAACCCCAGAGTATTTAACTTTATAAGAACAAACGGCAAAGCCCCTGATCTGTTAGCACTTTGTATGATGGCAGATTTGGGTGTATGCTATTCATTAATTGCAGAACAAGTGGTGAAGCCTTTAATTAATGTTGCATTATTTGATGGCAAATGTATGGCACATTACATAATGGTAGATCTTGGTGTATACTGTTCACTTTAAGTCATTAAAGTACACAGTGCAGAACAAATTCTGGCACATTATGTAACAGTAGACTACTGGTACATTATATGAAGGCATAACTGGGTCTGTGATGTTCACTTGAAATCAATAATGGAATGAATGGCAGACAATCTGCTTAATCATTATATAACAGAAAATTATGGTCTGTGCTGTTCACATTAAATAATTAAAGAATAAAAGGCATTATTGATGGCAGAACTGGGTCAGCATTGATCACTTTAAATCATTAACAAATGGCAGAGACATTGATCTTCTTGCACATCATGTGATGGCAGGTCTGGGTCAGCACTGTTCACTAATAAATGGCAGAACCCCTCATATACTGGTACATGATGGGAGACCTGTGTATACTGTTCCCTTTAAATCATTAAAACAGAACCCCTGATCTACTGTTGCATTATGTGATGGCAGATCTGGGTCTGCTGGCACATTATATGGCAGCAGATATTGTCCTATGGGGTTAACTTTAAATTATTAAGACAACATGGTGACATCTGTTAAAGTGGTGAGTAAGAAAGAAAAGCCAATAAACATGCAGATTTTCTGTTGATTTTGGGGTCAGACATGTTGGATTAACAATCCCTGAAAAAGTGAAATTGTTTCTCATAAATAATTAATATATTTAGCAAAAAACAGTTGCATTAAAGTACTTCATTTGAGCTATCCACATTATTTTCATGCAGTTGAAATGATCATGTATTTTTAATTATAGTTCATAGGATAGTTACTCAGATCAAATCCAACTAAGAGCAACATAGACCTTGTTCTGTTGTTAAACAATGTACTGATAGCTAGCCAAGTCTATGCTGTCCACTTAAAGATCAAATCCAACTAAGAGCAACATAGACCTTGTTCTGTTGTTAAACAATGTACTGGTAGCTAGCCAAGTCTATGCTGTCCACTTATAAAAGAACAAACAGTGTAGATCTGAAGGCTATGTAACTGTATATTTGGGTAAACACCCTTCAGAGCTGGGTGCATGTTATGTACAATACAGTATACACAGTCTTAATCCTTTTTGAAATTTATTTTGCATTTAAACTGTTCTTGGTTATCAAAATATTTTAAAAACATACATTTATTCTGCTTTCAAGTCATATGTTTACAACTGAAAATTTTCCCAGATGATTACATGCAAACTTCTATATTATTATGTTTTGATTTATATATTGTTTTGTATTTATGTTGAAATTTTTTTCAGAAATTATTTGAAGAATACTGTTTGTACTGATGAGCAGGTAACTTTTATTACTTCCTGACATACTTATTTTGCTGCTGTTTTAGTTTTTCTTATGTTTTTTGTGTTGGTATAGTAATATTTTATTGACATAGAGAAGTATTTCTACTTGGCAGATGGATCAGAAACAAGTTGTCCAACTGGTTCCTGTTGTCTTTGTTGTTTTTCATTCAGATTTGAAAATAAATAATTTTTAAGATCATCCAAGATAAAAAAATTGTATAAGTTTAATGGGGTTTTTTCAGTCAGGTGCTTCAGTATTCTCTCTTGATATGTATTAAAAAATATTGTTCTAATGATTTTTATATCGTATTGAAACTTGTTTGTGTGAAAACTGTCTTTTCTGCATTAGTTTAAAGCATCATCAAGCTATAAGTTTATTTTGCATTGATAGTGTGGGTTAGTATACTTTGTAAAGAGTATGCATACATTTCTAAGCATTAATTTTGTAACTTTTGTTATCTTTTCCTTAATAAAGAGCTACAAAACAGACTTCCAGATTTTTATTCTTCTGCAAAAATAAACTGTCAGTATACTGTATTAGGCATTTGGTTTCATGGTATGTCTCTTGTCATATCTGTGAACAAAATTCAACAGATATAAATCAGTTTTGATGCTTTTATGTGTCTTGTTGTCAGTCTTTTGGATTTAAGCCCTGTTTCTAAACTTTTGAACAAGCCAACACTTCACACATCAACTAAAAATGTTTAGGATGGTTTGTAGATTAGATCACCAGTGGAAAAAAAACCCTTTAAGATATACAATTGATTCCTGATTCAAAGATTAGAGAGAAGCATGTGCTTGCAAAAATAATTACTTTGAAATCTTTTCATTGGATTTTGATCTTCTGTTTTCAGATTGGTACATTTTTATTGTGTTTTCATATTCTGTTTTCAGATTAATACATTTTCATTGGAGTTTCCATATTTTGTTTCAGATTGGTACATTGTCTCAATATTTTATAATACCTTAGCATTGCTTCATCTAGTACATCAAACACATTCTTGTTGATTTTATCATCTCTCACCCAGTGACAGACATTTTCAGATGCAAACTCGAGAAATGTTGTGTTGATATACTGCCTGAGAAAATCTTGAAATGTTTGAGGGAATGTGGTTTTTGTTACATATTTTTAACTTGTACTTTAAGGATATTTGTCCTTTATATATATATATATATATATATATATATATATATATATATATATATATATATATATATATATATATATATATATTACAGACTTAAGTATGTTTACATTTTATGTTTATGTACTTCATGTTTACATTTATTCTTACATTTTTATAAATTTAATTGGCACAATATTGCCATTATTATGCTGACATACATAAACACACACACACATACATGCATAAATACATACTTAACAAACGTAAGTGCTAAATACCCATGTTTTGTTTCTTTTAGATCCCCACAAAGAGATATGTGAGGCCTCTAGTAACTATATTTCCAGTTCCTCCAACTTTGTCCCTCCTTCTGTCTGTAAACTAAAAATTCTTGCAACCAGCTAGATCAGGAATTCTAACTTGTAATTGGTTGCCATTGATGTAAAGTGTAGTCTTTAGAGAAGCCCTTTTAACATTAATATTACATTGCTACTAATGGGGAGCTTTGTAACCAGCTCAGACCAAGAACCATTCAACATATTCTGATGCAGTTTGGCGTGTTATGTTGCCTCATAGCCAAAGATGAGCTTTTTATGTATTTTTATTTAAAGTTTGATTTAAAATATGGCCTTTGATAATTAACTTAATATCTTTATTTCATATATTACTGCTCTGGTGGCCTAGTGGTTAGATTGCTCGCCTCAGATGCGGGAGGTCGTGGGTTCAAACCCCGGCCAAGTCATACCAAAGACTTATAAAAATGATACTAACAGCTGCCTCGCTAGATGCTCGGCATTAAGAGGTTCATATTGCCACTGGTTAGCACGGTGTCATGATAATGTGACTGGGTGCTAGACATCACTATAAACTGCCACACTGCAGACATGTAGTGATATGACTGAAAAATTGTTAAAGCTACATTAAAATTCCAAATCTCACACACACTCACTTTTGATGTTACTTATTACCAGCTTAGCTTTATCCATCCATTAATCCCACTCTGTCCAGTCATTCACACTGTTTAAAACCAGCATAACTCTCCAACCCTTGCACATTAGATGTCATTTAACATGTGAATTATCTGTAGGATGTAGATGCATATTTTAAAAGGTTATACTTTTCTGCTTCAATTTTGAGTTATTGCCCTTTCTCCATCAGTATTACATCACCATTTCAGCAGATCCTTGTAACCAGCTTATCTTGTGGAGACATTCAACATATTCTGATGTGATTTGGTATGACCATCGATGCATGGTTCATGATTTGATTTATATTTTTCTCATTATGATGTAATTTGTAACTGGGACAGCTCCATGTTTATGTGATTTGGATTTTTAACATAGTTTTGACAATTTTTCAGTCATTGCCACAATGTCTGCAGTGTGGCAGTTTATAGTGATGTCTAGCACTGGGGCATCATGCTGCAGACATGTAGCATGATGTCCCCCACCCAGTCACATTATTCTGACACCAGGCCAACCAGTCCCAATACTAACCCCTAAATGCTGTACACCAAGCAAGGCAGCTGTTAGTTCCATTTTTTAAAGTCTTTGGTATGACTTGCCCAGGGTTCAAACCTGCAACCTCCCACATCCAAGATGGATGATCTAACCACTAGGCCACCAGAGCTGTCCTAACTGGAACAGCTTAGGATCCATTCAGTATATTCTGTTGCAGTTTGATCGGAACATTTTCTTAAAGACTTTTTTGTGTCTTATATGGGTTTATGGCTGAAAAATGGTGTATGGATCAGCCAGAAAATCTTAAATGCTGATGCTTGCCTGATTTGAGATCTACAGTAGTACGGTCAGATTGTCTGGGGGGTGGGGGTGGGGGATCCATTTTGGTCATGACTAGTCACCACAGCTTCTACCCCCCCCATGACTTTGCAAGCAAGCTACATACAATGTGCAACAAGTGGATGATTGGAATTAATAATGCATATTCTTAAGCCTGTGTATAATTATAACTCCGTGGCTTGCAGGATCAATACTATCAAACTATAAGCATGCTGCATGATTAAGTTATTCAGTTACAACTGATGCAGATTTTATCAAAACAGTCAATCTTACATGCCTTGAAATAAGAGAAAGCTATTTGATTTAGTCGGCACCAAGTTAGCACAGCTTTACTAAGATAGAAAATTAGCTGAAATATTTTTATGAATGTGCTGGAAATATCCAGTTTTAAAATTACTCTCTGTGTTACCATTACAAGAGGCTATGCATACATAGTAGTGGCATATTTTTATGTATTAGCTGATATGGAAAGGGCCCATGACATGTTTTCAAAAGATATTCTTAACACCTAATTTTTCATTTAGACTCTCAACACAGAACAATGGTAATGAAATCTAATGTGCCATACTACTAGACAACATCCCTGGCTCAAGTCAGTACCAAATCTAGCCCATGAATGTGAAAAGTGAAAGTCTATCTGATGAAAGTTAGGTCAACTTATCTAACAGATACATGGCACACACAATCTTTGTACCATATCTGAAACTATGGACTGCATACATTAGTTGACCATAAAACATCACATGAATGACCTACAATTAGTTGCATGCCAAAATTTCAAAGTACTTATTCATAAAGCAAAGCTCGGATGGAGAAATATCCTTCTATATTAAAGAGATACTGTGGTATATAATGGTAAGTTATCTGATTAACTCAGAAAATGTTTAGAAGTTTATTGAGGTCTCTAGAAATGGCACTAACTTACCAAATGACTGGGATTTAAAGTATGTTGCAAAAAGACTTGCTGTATTGTTTGAATGCATCATACAAATTTATCAAAGAAGCTCAAAATGTATGCATTTTAGAGACATATCATTAACACAATCATAACTTGATTAATTTTGGATTGACATTAGAAATTGAATAAACTAGGGTAGGTTTGTGAAGAGAATAAGTAGAATTTATAGTGAAAGAAAATTGCCCACTATGTATGAAGCATATATTTTTAATGACTGTTCTAGCTGTAATGGTGAAGATATCCAAGAGCAGATCTATTAAACAGATGGTTTTGGGCTATTATTATAGGAATGGATCCGAACTTGTCAATCGTCAGTATATCTATGAATTGAATTATAAAGAAGCAGCAGAGCAATTTCAGAAGCTATTACTAAAAGCAATAGACCAAATATTGTTGAATTTACCAGTGCTCCATGACATTTTGCATACCAATGTACAAAGTCTGGTTGTACTTGGGTTGGTTTAATACTCAGTGATGGGTCATTTGAGTTTCTTTGGATACATAGTATCATGGAATTTAACTTATCCATGTTGGCAGATGAATTTATATCTATGTTGGCAACATTTGCTGTCGATACCAAAAAGAACAAGTTTTTCATTTAAGATGATTTAAAATTTCAAGTTACCATAAAGTCATGTAATGGATTTTGTCAAGTTCTCTATCCACCTAGCCTTGAAATTAGGATACCATTTTTTTATGGTGGGGGAACAAAACTGGCAAATGGCATCCAGACTCATGATTGAAAAATAAGAGATGCTTGTGTCTATCAATGTGGATTTTCCAATTAAAAAAAAAACAAGCTTAATTGCATATGGATACAATAAATGCAAAGGTATCTGCCCTGGAAAATATTAACTTGGAAGTAGAATATATTACTGATTACTATAAAACATGCTAACATACTGGTGCAAGTACTCAACCATGTCTTACCCCTGGCATCAGAGTCAAATCACATAATCAATTTTTTGAGCCATGTGGATCTGGTTGTGAATATTATCAGACATGTAAAAACCTAGGCACTTGTGACCACACAGACACTTGTGATTGCACAAACACCTGTGACTGCATAGAAGAGATAAGAAAAAAAAGAACCAAAAAATAGCTAGGATTGAAGCGATTGCAGTTTCTGATCCTGGTAAAATACAAGAACTAAAATAAGTTCTTGATGGACTTTTTAATTAGAAAAGCCATATGTAAGTATGCCTACCATGGTTTAGCAAATTGCACAACAACATGGAATGCAAATACCAAGTTGTATGTGAAAAGCTGTCATAATTAAATTATTGAGACCAATACTAACATTGAATCAACCTGCTCCACAGCAGTCACAAATTCACCATCAGTTGCCAATGCACCAATGGTACAACAGCTGAAACAATCTGCATGAATATAATATACAAATTAAAAGAGGTGAGAAAACATGATATACATGTGATATCAGATTATTGAAACAAAACATGTTGAGGATGAACAACACTTTTATTAAGGATAAAGAAAATTGTATTGCATCTGCTATTGCTACCAAAGCTGCTATGTTCATACAAAAGTACTTACAAGTATAAAGCTAACAATAGCAACATCTAGTGGCAGTCAAAGGGGGTAATAGATAAGAGTTTCTTTCACTGTCTATGTAATACATAGAAGTGAAAAAAGTTTAATCTTTTTTCAGGAAGTTTGACTTTTGGAGCAAGCCAGCCTTTTGTCCCAAATGTCAATGCGATCATGGAATGTATTCAAAGAAGAAACAAGTTCTTACTAATTTGTCATCACTTGTTTTTTGTTTAGGCTTTGCCATTGCTGTCAAGTTCATTTCATCAGCCAACAATTCTTTTCCAACTGTTCCAGCTCTATAATGACAGTCATTAACATGACACATCAGCAAGTGTAGTTGCCAAAACCCCCAATATAGAGTATGATGCTTTTCTGGTCCATTGTCATGCAAGACTTTATTTTTCTATTGATGTATCACAATTCACCATTATTAATATTATTTCAGATTACAAGTATTTCAAATTGTTGAAGATTTATATTTGTTGAGTTAAAAGCAGTGTACTCAACATTAGGGCAAGTTTTTATATCTGAAAGTACATCTCAAAAATGTACACGTTGATTTCACTAATTCTGGTACTCTTTGATCTGTTAAATGCAATTATGGTATTTCAAAACTGGCCGCCATCCACACTGCCCAATTAAAAACTGATTTTGCAAGAACTTCATATCACACTGTGTTCTGTATTTGGTATTGAAAAATCATTGTAAAATATTAAAGTGAATGTATAACATGTCTAATGGCTTGTATGTGAAATAGCTATCTGCATAGCATATTTTTTTTATCTCTGTAAATGTTAGTGTCATTTCTCAGATAATTGAAGTATTAAAGTAAGTTGTAGGACAAGAATAAGACAGGTTTGTTATTTTTTTAATTTTATGTTCATTATTAAAATTTCACAAATTTTTATACCTGAACTAAATCATTGACATCTACTTTATCCATGAACCTGTTCATTCTCCTCACTAAATTCTGGAAGCAACATACTGATGGTTAGATTAGCTCTTTAAAAATATTTGTATGAGAGTATTGCACTGTAGCCTGTGCTCTAAGTGTAGTGTACTAAGATTATACGTCTAATGGATCATATGGTCATGTAACCACAATTTTCTTACTCGAATATCTGCACAATAATTTCAGTAATGTTTAATTGATAAAGGACTAGGTTCTGTGGATGGGAAATGCTGGTAGTTTTTGGTTGGTGGATATAGTTCTAAAGTAAAAAAAAATTGCAGATATTTTTAAAGGTGGCTGGCTATTTTTCTAAAAATCTTTAGGGTAGAGGATATGGTAATTAGTTGGTAGGATAATACCTTGCCTATACTATTTCAATACTGGTATGTGTGCAGGGTGCAAAAACCTATGTTTATAAACTTAATGCAAAAACTTAATCTAAGCCAATGAAATGTAAGTCATTGTGATCTTTTTTTAAGGGTGTAGTATGAACAGACATATGTACAATCATAAAAATTTATGCATGAAAAGATTTTGAAAAATAAATTTAAAATCCGAAGTTCAACCAAAATCAGTCAAGTGAAAAAGTAGGTCATATGGATCACAATGACCAACTTGTAATAAGGATGTATGTCCTAATCAAGTTCCAGTAGGTTGGTGGTTCTTCATGTGTGTTTTCCTGGGTTCTTTCTCCACCAGATATACTGGCGATGTACAGCTTACTGTGCTGAAAAATGACATTAAACCCATAAAACCAAAACCTTACCAAGTTTTATGGCTCCAGGTATAACAAATACATATGCAGGGTGCAAAAAATAAATCCAAGTTGAATGCACAAACATAAAACCAAGAAGTACAAAATAATGTACATGTATAAAGTTATCCCCCTTAGGAGTCCAGTGCTTTGAAATGCAGTATGAACTTTTGCCTGGGGCACAAGAAGAATGAATGAGATGCAATGAGGCTGTACATATGAATATGCTTTTATATGTGGGAATACTGATACTCAGGGTACTAAAATAAGCAGGGAAAGATGTGAGGTTGCTGCATCTTTTTATTCCCACACACAGGAAGCAATCAGGGTTAGATGACTCTGATTCTAAAGCTTTATGAATCAGAATGGTTGACATAAAGGGGTGCACATCTCGACCATTCCAATTCAGTATGGTCTTCCCATTTGCTGATATGGGTCCTCATACAATCTGAAAACGCAAATTTACAGCCACCATGGGGATAGAAGGATAATTTTCAGTAGTCTCATGAAATGGCAATCCAGGACAAAGAGATTTGTTACTGCATTAAGACCGATCTAAGAAGGACTTCCTGTTCTGAAAAATCAATTCTGTGAACAAATGGTACACAATACCAAA